TTCTGTGAGTAATTTTCCAAACCGAGATGGAACCCATGCTTGCAGAGAGGCTTTTGTATTTTACACTCTGAAACCTCCTGGATGCACTCTCAATATATGTTCAGTATGTTTAAGTTCCTCAGGTGGCCAAACAGGGCAGATTTACGATGGTGATGGTGAACTGAATTCCCGTGTGTTCAGAATCCATCCGGGCTGTGTGACTCAGCCGCATAGCGCTAGCTTCCCCTTCTGGCCAGAAGAGGTAAGGGAAACCTCATGGCGAGAGTCACGGGAATTACTTCTCAATTTTATTCCTCCGCACCAAAGATAAACACAAATTTTCAGACAATAAATTAATGGCTAACTTCCAGTGGGGGGGAAGTGCAGGAAGTGCATTTTTATTCTTGCAATATAATATAATGATGTATTGAGATGGGGTTGCTGCTTGAATGTAGAATTCTTTTCTAAACATGGACCTAGTTGGGAAAACAATTAGATGAAAATACCAACTTCTGAAAAAAAGATTCCAGATTTCCCTTCTGGACCTCTATTAGCTGGTCCTTGAAACAAATATTTGACTTCTTTCCATACGCTCTATGTTAATTTTCCCCATGCAACTGCATCAGTTACGATTGCAGTGGGGTTTGTTGTTTGGACACAGGAGTTTTTTGCTTCCCTTTTTGTCTTATTTAAGGATTCCTCTTTGATCTTAATTCTGTGGTACAATATTTTGTATCATTAGGCTAAGCTCTGTAAATGTAGGGTGTACTTACATGAAGGCGTTTGTTTACTTTGTGGTGTAAAGCAATGACACGCTGTATGATCCAACAGGCTTTTTAGCAAGCCCTTTCTGAGTCAGTCAGCCTTTTAGAAAGCTGTTGTGCTCTGTTTCTGGACGGGTTGATCATACAACACTGAATCTTAGCAGAATCTTCCCTTTTTGTCCTTTTCACACACATCTGCTACAGCTGCCTGGAAAAATGGGACATTTAGCTTGCACACAATTTTCGATTGTAAGACCAAAGTCTTGCTTTTGTTGGCATGTTGGAGAGTAAGCAAGCAAATACCCACACAACAGAGACTTCCAGCATGAGTTTTTGGCAACTACAGAACTTAAAAACTGCAACCAATTAGGCCTTTCCTTAAGCAAAAAGTAGTTGGGAATGAGGGTGTCTCAGCAAAGTCAGGTGTCAGATTGTATTATATTTATGTTTACTAATATGCTTGGTATGGTTTCATTGCTGTATTAAAAAAAAAAAAAGAAAATTTTTGGAAGCAATTAATGATTTCCTTTTCAACTGTGTAATAATGAACTACATGAGAAATATTTTGATATCATGAGTCATTGGTGGCCATGGAGAAAAACATACTCTTTAAGCCAAGCTTTTAAATACTTTTTTAATTGAAAGAAAAAGAAATAATATTTTACTGGCAAGTGACTTGCTCTTCCAGGTTTATAATTTTAACAATGAATACGTCTTTGAGAACATTATTTAAATGGCTTTTACAACCAGTAGTTGTATATGAATAATGTTTGGGTGTTTTGCCTATATAGTAAATGTCTTTCCTTTTTTTACAAAAAAGATAGTTGATTTTATAAGAAAAGATGGTTTTATCTGTCCCCCTTAAAAATCATTTCACATCAGACAGTGCATCATTAACAATTAAAAAGCTTGTGCATAAGCAGTAGAAAACTTTCTTGTAATGGCTGATGTAATTTCTCACTGATGTGCAATCACTGCTCAGTTCATACCAACAAGGAAACGCTGAAGTCACTGCTCTAAGGCTTTGTGAAGAAACTTCACCTCCCTTGTTTATAAAAATGTTACACAAATACAAAACAATAATTATTTAAGATAATTTTTCCTACTACTTTCTTTAGATGCTCTCTTGTAGGTCTCTCAGCCAAAGCTCAACTTCTTCCAGGTTTTCAGGGTCCAGCAGCCCTGACAGCCTTATGGCTCCTCAGGAGCACAGGTACAGAGAATCTGCTCAGCCATGGAGCTGTGTAGGTGGCTGACCCTGGGAAGCTGTGGAAAGGCTGTTTTCCCCACACCTAGCCAGGCAGCTGTCCTGCTGCTCTGTCCTGGCCTTTGTAGAAAAACCTTTGGATGCTCACAGTCATCAAACACCTGTTGGTGTAGCAGTTGCAGAGCTTTTGGGGATATGGCCTTTTTTCTGGTATTTCCTTGCCTGAGCCACGATTGCAGATCTGAGGCCTGGGCTCAAGTTGCATTTCAACAGGCAAACGTTCAGCTGTGAATATGCTTTCCAGTGACTTCATTTCAGGTGTCCAATTATCTTTTAGGATAAGGCAGGAGGTATATTTTGTCTGGAGTGTTAAAACTGTCCTTGAAGAGCTTAGCCTTTCTTCTTGAAAGGAAGGCTGTAATCAGTAGTTACCTTGCTTCGTGTTTTGATTTGAAGAGGAGGTTGGATCAAACTTCTCCGCTTCTGTGAAAACTGAAATTGAGGGGTGCCTTCTGAAATAAAGGGCAAATGGTCATTTGGTCACCACTGTAGTTTCAGTTTGTACCACGGCAGGGACTGTGATTTTGTATTGGCTTTTACAGCACATTGCTGTAGAGAAATGTCTGTGATGACAATTAATATCATTGTATTAATTATGTCAAAGATTACTTTGGGTCTTCTTAAAGAAGAGGAGGTGAACAGAGCAAGGAAATCGGTGTTGCCAGAGAAAGAAAGAATGAGCTAATCCAACTAAAACTGCGAGGGGAAGCCACTTAGACAGAATGTAAATTTGCATGGTTGAATTTGGCAGATTCTAGTGTTAATACTATTCCTGCTGTGAGAAGTTACAGAAGGGTCTTTTTCTACTCTTTTGTAATGATCTGGGTTCGCTTGCACATTTTGCCTGAATATCTGTGCTTCCCTGCACATTTAGCTCATGGCACAATATTTATAACACTTTACAGGATGTTTGATTTAGTTTTGGCTCAGAAGGAAGACTGCTGTTTCGTGAGTTACCAGCAGTACCCTTTTCTTTAACACTGGGATAAATTTGCAGCAAGGAGGTTAAAACAGATAATTTTCTTAAATTTTTGAGAAGTTTGCAGACTGTGATGGAATAACTATGGGGGATGCATTTTTATTCTTCTGACACCCTTGGGGGAAAGAAGCAAAGCGTACACAGAATATGAGTTAATTTTGAAATTAAAATTCCTCAAGTCCACTAACACACTCCCCCCACTCCAAATTTGAAAGATAATTTTTAAGAAAAAGGAGAAACAGAGCCTGATGCAGAAAGCTACTGAATTACCCTCCTGAATAGCTCAGCAACAATGTTAAGTAAATTAATGATGAAGGGATAAAGAATACAGAAGCCAAGAGAAATCTGTATGTTGGAGATTAGAAAGCACAAATACAATGAGTCTGACCAAAATTTATTGGGCTTTGTGGAATAACAACCAAAAACCCCCCTCTTTGGTTGCATACATTAAAAGGCCATAGGAGAAATGCAAGAACACTGTATAGTATGGCAGGATGTAGATTAAGAAGACTCTAGATATGATCCAGCCTCTAAGGGAGTATTTTGCCTATTTTGGATGAGGTCATAGTAAAAGAAAATCAGAGGTGGTAGAAGTGCACATAGTTCTAGCAGATCTATATAATGTCTGATATATGAAAGACTATTGAAAGAAAGGGTGTATATAATTGACAAGAGAATAGGAAGTCTTCCTCTCATATCTGGCATTTGGAGACTGTAGCCTCTGACTGGTGAAAAGCAAACTTGTTGAATAACAGAGCTGGGGGGAAAGGGGAACAAAAAAGAGGACGACTTGAGCAATTTGGAGTTCCAGACCTCACCAGTGTGCAAAGTCTTGAAAATTATTCTTGCCGGAAGATGACTCTACAGCACATTCATGCCTGTTTGTGGCCATATCAGATTGGCAGTACAGCTGATGGGCTGTATAAAAGAGCAGCAGTTTTGTTCTGAACTGCTGAGCACACACTTTAATCTCACTCCTATTATTCCGGTCCACAAGGTTATCATAGAGAACTGAACAATCCCCTCTCCTTTTCAGCACTGATGAAATGTGCAGTTTTCCATGCCTGTTCATGAAGGTCACTGACAAAAGCATTCAATTTGGGAGAACACAAAGGAGCATAAACTGAAGGATCAACTAAGCAGTAGTAGAATGGGTTTTTTGTTGTTTCTGCTGTTATTAAAATAGTAGTGGGGACGTGCTACCCAGGTGTAAGTGCAGCACTTGAAACAGAGAGCCTTAGAAAGCTCGTTAATGAAGAGATTATAGTGATCCAGGCTAACTCTGGTGAATAAAGACCTGGTTAAACAGAAAGACCTCATGAGGGTATTTTGAAATTGAACTTCCTGTCTCTTTCTGCTGTCGTTTCATCCTATGCTGACAGACACACAAAATTGCATATTTTCTTAGCCCTGAAGCGTTCAGGTCTCTCTGTATCATCATCTTCTGGACCGGAATAACAGCAGCGAGATTAAATTGTGCATTCAGCAGTTCAGAATAAAACTTCTGCTATTTAATACTCTGTCACTTTCACTGCCCCTGTGATGACACTGAAAAAGTCTTTGCAGGACAGTGCAAGGCACTGGGAACAGCTCAGCCAGTGGATTCTGTGTGTTTGCATTCACTGGAAATAGATCTGTGTAACAAGAAGATGGACAGAAAAAAGGGTTGTGAGATGACTGGAGAAATAGTAATAATTAAAAAAAAAAAAATAAGGAAGCAAAACAAACCCCGTCTCACGATAAAGCAACCTTCCACGACAGGAAACTAAATTTTAAAGAGGAGGTTTTAATAAGGCTGAAAATAAACGTGAAAATAAGCACGTGTGGGGATTTAAGCATTTCTTCTCCCTTCCTGGTGTATGAAACGAAGGGGGAGGACTAGTAATCGCCATGCTTGGATTCAGAGCGGATACCTCTAAATCAAGAGGGAAAAGATGATTTAAAACATCGATCACTGCAAGGTCAGGGCAGGCAGACTGTGACTCCACGGCCATGGAAGTTTGCGTTACTCATGGAATGGCCAGACCCGAGCCTTGAGGCCTTGACCCCTCGCTTTGGGAGGCCGGGCAATGGCGGGGTCCCTCCTTGCTTCGGCATCCTCCTTTCCCGGCTGCATTCACGCCTTTCCCGGCCCTCCCCGGCGGGGCAGCTGGTTCCGGCTCAGCCTGAGGGCGTCATTTCCCGGGGCGGAGCGGGGCGGCTCCGGTAGGTGCCGGGAATGGCTGGGAATGGCGGGCAGCGGCCGGGAATGGCGGCGTTTCCCGGGCCCTGGTCCCCTCAGCGGCCGCCCTGGGCGGAGGTGGCGCAGCGGGAGCGGGGCTGGGGCCGCCCGGGCGCCTCGGGGAGGCTTCAGTTCCTCCTGTTTATTGCTAAATGTTCTTGTGTCCGAGCTCTCCTCCACCCCACCGTTTTTCCTCCTTCTGATGGATATAAGTGCCAAAATGCCCTCATCCCGAATAATTGTTAAAAACAGGCCTAAAAATGGCCCGTCAAACTAGAATGTACCGCGGTTTCCATAAGCGTAAGGATTAATTGCTCCTGGATTTGTAGTGTGCTCTCAGAGGCTTATTTAAAAGTGCTTTTTTGATATTTTCATTTATGAAGTATGTTAATAAAGAGATGCTGTGCTTTTCATTCTGTAGCATGTTTTTATTGTGTCTTGGTTGGTGGGAAAAGAGGACGGTCATCTTTTTTATTGGAGGCAGTGGGTACAGATAAAGCTGATGATCACGGGTGTGCATAAATTTAATTTGAGTCCTCACAAGTGCTTTGAGGAAAGTAAAAATGTTTTTCCTTCTCTTCAGGGTGTCTGCAAACAGAATTGAACTGACAGCTCTGGTATTTTTAGCTCCAAACAAGATGAAGATCCCCTCTTTGCTGCTGAGATTCCCTCATTGCTATTTCTCCAGAAGAACTTACTTCATGAACTTTTGCTTCGCTTCCCGAGCAGGTTTCCTGGGCGTTGAGTCTCTTGGGCCAGTGCACGGCTGTCATACAAAATGGATTTGTTCATCAAATGCTTGCAGGAGAGCGCTGTGCCAGCAAGCAGCCCCTGAGCAGCAAGCAGAGGGACTTTCTGACCGGGAGCAGAGACTTGTAGACAGACTTTACCAGGGGCTAATCCAGGGCCACAGAGCCTGCTTAGCCGAAGCCATTACACTCATAGAATCAACTCAGAGTAGGAAGAAGAAAGTAGCCCAGGTGCTCCTTCAGAAGGTATTATCCTACCACAGGGAACAAGAAAAGTTAAATCAAGGAAAGCCACTTGCCTTTAGAGTGGGTTAGTCCTTTTATGTCTTGTCTAGTAGTTGCTTACTCTCCTCACCTTTTATTATCACTGTTGTTTGTGGTCTGTAGTCTTGGATTGTTATTTTTTTGTGGTTTATAACCAATCTAGATTACTTCTGTTGTCCGGTGGAATTATGGCTTGAGATGAAAAATGCTTTTGAAAATGCTTTAGAAATTATCATTGCTTCTTGGGAGTGTGTTATTCAGGGTCGGTTGTGCAACCGTTATAAGGTGAAACATTAGTTAGTTTGCAGATTGATGCAGATGTTACCTGCACTTAGGGAAAGATGTTGTGTAGCACACCTGGTCTTTTCCCAAAGGTGTTTTCTTGAACACTTCCTGAATCCCTTTTTTAGTCTTCATAAGAACATGCACCTTCCTGTTTTATGGCTCTCTGTTAAGCAGTTTGATTTTCAGCTGAAGGAGACTTGAACCTGCTTCTCCTGGAAGCCGTAAAATATTTTTTCCCTTACAAAGCGAAGGACTGCTAACATGTGTCATGCCCTGCTGTCATCTCTCCTGTCTGTTCAAAGGTAGTAAGAGCAAGAACTGGGGCATGGGAGTGAGAGAAGTTTGGTGCTAATCTTAGTTTGTGAGCTTTGACATGCAAATAAGTGGCCTTATTTTTTGGAAAGAAGAGCTCTTCAAGGTACAGGCTTGCTTTTTCCTTTTGGAGTGTTTCTTTTGTAGTAAATCTGAAAAATCCAATTCTAGTGTATAACATTTTGAAAGTTCTGAAGGATAAGTCATACAGTAGAAGTAATTTTATTTGGAGGGGAAGAAATAGATGTGAATAAACCCAGTGTTATGTTAGTGTCAATAGGATGAGGGGTGGTGAAGTGCTATTGTGTTGCCAAGCTCCTAGTTTGTTTTGGCATAGCTTTTATTTGCTTTTGTTGTGATGCTGTGTTAAAGTATTAATTGTTATGAACTAGATGTTGATGATATTCATGAGATGTATTATTTATCTGATTAACAAAATGTTTTTTTCTTCCTAATGTGATTGGTTAGGGTTGTCTGGTCCTCCTGGTGCTGGAAAGTCGACCTTCATAGAATGCTTTGGGAAGATGCTTACGGAAAGAAACCACAAAGTGTCTGTGTTGGCTGTAGACCCTTCCTCTAGTACAAGTGGTGGTGAGTGTGAATTGAAGTTTGAGTCAAGTTTCTAATACCTTGTTAACTACTGAGGTATCTCTTTGGGCCAAGTGGAAGAAAATTTGGTGCCCATAACAGTAAAATATAAAACAAATCAAGTTTTCATATTTTTTCGTATGTGATACAAAATTGGAAAATATGTATCAGTGTTGTAATTCTTTCGGATTTCTTCTTTTCCAGTGTTCAAATGTTGCCTTACAATTTATTTTGCTAAATTTGAATTTTTTTGAAGTTGTTCAGAATTACTGTGATCTGTAACTCTCCAGTAAAAAATTGTAGGGAAATTACAAGCTGAGCATACCTGATTCTTGGTATCTCTGATACAAATAATACAATCTTGATTTTGATCTTTCCATAAGGGGCATTAATTTTTCCAGCTTCTGTGCTGTTAGAGGTGTGTAACTATTTATAAAGAAATAACTAGAGCATTGACATGGAGCTAAGATGGACTGTGTTCTTTGATGCATGCCTTCAGGATGCATCAGAGGAGGAGCAAAATGTGACAGCAAGACTGCAACAGTTGGGTGAATTGAGCATCTCTCATCTTTTGGAGTGTGTGTAGATCTCGCTGAATCTGATTTGCAGATTTTTTTTGTTTTGTTCTACTTTGTTTGAGTAGAAGGAAGGCAGGGACACATGTCAGCTCCCTTAAAACAGAACATCCTGCATCAAGGCAAGCCAGAATCATAATGCAGAGATTTGTCCCTTTGGACAGGAGCAGACAAGAGTCAGCTGCGTGGCCTGATGTGTGTAGGCTTCAAAAAGCCATTCAGGAGTTGTGGAATTCATTCTGACCTAGCACAGATTCTTCATATTTGGTAGCAGTAGGGTCTGCCTGTGAGGCCTTTCCAGCTTCTGAGAAGTAGAAGAAGCAGACAGTAGCTTCCTAGTCCTCAGCTAAGTCTTGAGCAGCTGATATAAGAATAGGATATTCTTATTTGGCTGACTTTGTACAAGAGACCTGTCTTTTCTCACTCATTTGTTGGTGGGGAGCAGGGGGAGTTTGACTTTGTTGTACTTCTGAAATAATTTAACATTAAGGTTCCCTGCTGGGTGATAAAACACGGATGACTGAGTTGTCAAGGGACATGAATGCATACATCAGACCATCTCCAACCAGTGGGACACTGGGAGGTGTCACAAGGACCACAAATGAAGCCATTCTGCTCTGTGAAGGAGGAGGTTACGATGTTGTTCTTGTGGAAACAGTAGGTATGTGCTTAGGGTTTGCTTTGATGTCCTGTTGTGATATGAAAATAAGCTGTGCTAATAATTGCATACCTCTGCCTTGATTTTTACCCATGTTTTCATACATGGTAACTGCTTGAACACAAATGCTCATTCTGTCTTGTTTTCTAGTCCTGTATGTCTTTTACTAAACTGTTCTGTTTCCTGTTGTCTTTGTTTTGTTAGTGGGATTTGTTTGTGGGACAGTGCTGGGATCTGTCACAATTATTGCCATTAATGGGACTGAAAGTTTGTAGTAAATGGTAAATTCTGAATTTAATTTTTTAGGTGTGGGCCAGTCAGAATTTGCTGTGGCTGATATGGTTGATATGTTTATATTACTGCTACCACCTGCGGGTGGAGATGAATTACAGGTATTTTTCAGTTTCTCTTATTGGTTACTACCTGGGACTAGAAAGAGAAACTTAAATTCAGCATGTAGTATCTGTGCAGAAAGTCCATATCAATAGTGTTTTGTCCATTATACTGTTAAGTATTTTCAGTGTCATTCACTTACTGCCCAGTTAAGCTCCCTTTCTGATTTTAAAATTATTAGGACGTAAGCTTTTGATACTCTGTAGCTTAACTTTGACATGTTTACTAGTTACATATATTTTGGGGGAGAAAACTAGGAACTACCAAAGCATTTTGACCTGCTTTTTGTGATGAATCAGCATGTCACAGCCCCTCTGGGTACTCCTGATTTCTGTCCCTGTTGCATTCAGGGCATCAAGCGGGGCATCATTGAGATGGCAGACCTGGTTGCTATCAATAAGGCTGATGGTGATTTAGTAGTGCCTGCCCGGAGGATCCAGGCTGAGTACATCAGTGCCATGAAGCTGCTTCGCAAGCGTTCGAAGGTTTGGAGGCCAAAGGTTTGTGGACTTCCCTGTGTTTTCTGGGGCTCTTTGGGTCTGGTTTGGGTTTTGGTGATGTGTTTAGGGGTTTTTTGTATTTTTCCCTCCCAGAAAAAGTGATGAATGAGTGAAGATTGGTATATTCTCATCTAGCTGTCCTAGTCTCCCTGGGCTCTTTTTAAAAATTGCACTTGGTTCTTTAGTCTCCATGTGCTGGAGAGGTGATTGCTGCTCTCTGTGCCTCACCTCTGATCTCAAGGTGTGCCACATGAAACACTGCAAAGCCAGTCCTTCTTCCCAGGATTTCTGCCTTGAGCTGCAGTCTCTACACTAGCAGAGGCATTGCTGACATCAGGAGTGGTGCAGACTTTACTTGCTTTTTGCAAACTGTGCATATCTAAAAATTTCCCTTAATCTACTTCTCCCTCTGTTATAACTCTGAAGTCTGTGATTATCTTTGTTCTTTCACTTGTTCACGTTTCTTTTATTGCTTTAATTTTTTTTAGTTTCTCACATAATAAAAATGGCTAGATAATTGGAATTGTCATCCTGTGAGTCTTCAGTTTTGATGCTGTATTTTATCTACTAAAAGTGTTTTTGTGGATTTTTAAGAAGATTCAGTGCTAGTTTTTAATATGTGTAATAGAATAAGCACACACACAGTCTCACTTCCTTTATAAATAAACCATTTGTAAAGGAGGTTTGTTCTACCCTGGAGTTGAAATTGACCCATTAAGTTGAGTTTAAATCAGCTGGGCTACCTGAGGATTAGCCTTTCTTTTCTGTGTGGAAAAGGGGAGAAGGTTTTTTTTAAAAAAAAAAAAAAACAACAAAAAACGGGCTGTTCAATTTGAAAGACTGTGCTGGATTTCTGAAATATTATTGGCAAAATTAATTCCTGGTCTGAAAAGCAAAGGAGAAAAAAACCACCAAAAACCCCCTTGTTTCTGGCATATTTTAAGTGCAAAAGAAGAGCTACCAGAATATGCACTTAACTCTACATTTGAGTGAAAGAGCAATAATGTGCCTCTTAGCTGAAGGACTTGCTGAAAATGATTCTCCTAACAAGCAACTGGACAAATATCCCAAATAGTATGGATCTCAGAGTCCATTTCTAGTTAGTAGAATCCCACATTTTTGGGGAGGCTGTGGGAGAAGGCACAGAAATGCTTAGAGCCTCATGAAATGAGTATTGAAGGAAGCTTCCCTCACACATTTCTTAATTTCCATGCAATCTCCCTGATCCAGTAGTGGAAGCCTCCAGGCCAGCAGCTAACTTGGCTTTGGCAATTCCTCTGAATCCACCAGGTAATGCGCATCTCCGCCAAAACCGGCGAGGGCATCTCGGAAATGTGGGACAAAATGACCGAGTTCCGCGACCTCGCGCTCACCAGCGGCGAGCTGCTCGCCAAGCGACGGAAACAGCAGAAAGTGTGGATGTGGAACCTCATCCAGGAAAACATGCTGCAGCATTTCCGGAGTCACCTGGCAGTCAAGGATAAGATCCCACTTCTGGAGGAAAAAGTTCTTAGCGGAGTCTTGTCTCCTGGGCTGGCAGCAGACCTGCTGCTGAAGGCATTCAAGGATGGTCTCTAAGCATTGTTTTCTACTCTATTCTTTTGGGTGCTTTATGTAAACGAGAACATTAAATGCACTTTTTCTATGTGTGGATTCAGATGTTTTGCTGCAGCAGAAATGAATAGAAAAACTATCCAGTACTCTGCAAAAGAATTCTGTTGGATTCTGTATATGCAGTGATCATGACAAATCTAAACACTCACTAAGAGATTACTACACACTATTGGAAAAAAATAAATTTCCAAATCTTCTATTTCTGCATGCCTTAGATTTGTTGATAAAAACTGGATGCCCATGTAAAATGATTGGGTCTGGGGAGGGCAGGAGAGTGAGGTTTGTGGTGGTGCAGGGTTCGATTCTGGTTGTGGGGTCATCTCAGAGCAGTTGACACTGCAGCTTTCCATTCTAATATAGCAACAGCTGTTGCCAGAATGGATTGCATTTTCTTTCCTCACCTTGAGTGACAGCAAGAACATTGCACTGCCTGACAGCACCAGACCACAGCCTTAGTTTTAAATAAATAGTATGCATATAAATAGAACATAGTGGTGTTTGGTCCCTCTTTGGAAGCTGTAGTTAGTTATTATGCACTGTACAGTAGGATAAGGGAATTTTAACCATCTGGTTTCAAAATAGATGTTTTATTAAAAAGCAAAATGTAGTTAGACTTTTTTTTCATGCAGACATCAGACTGGACAAATGCTACCCATGATATTTTAATAGCAAATGTCTTTATACTAGAGCAATTTGTCTCTAAAAACAATGTTTTGTGGTTTTTTAATCTGACTTAGGTTTTTTGTATTCAAACAAAATGGCCAGTCATGTTTGGTATTTTTTCTTTATCTCTTGCAGAAGACAGGACTACTTCCAACCAAAAGCACTTTTATTTTCTATTTTCCCTTGAGAAAAATCTGGAGGAAACATTTTCCTGATCTATGATCTAGAAAGCAGAGCTCATCTGGTACCCACTAAATGTGAAGGATAAAGTGGAAAAATGCTGATTTTTGGAGATCTGACAGTAAAACCAGTAAAACAGGAGAATATGTGAGCCTGTTGGTATTTAGATAAATTAATTTTTAAAGAAATATATTGGAAGTGATAATTTTCAGTTTTGATTTTCTGGACATGTATGTGAAAGGTATGGTGACTTTAGCTCAATTTCACCTGTTTGGCTTCTGGCAACCCAATTCCAGTATAGCAGTGAATTGGCTTACTTAAATCCTCTTTTTACCTTCATGGTGTTTGTATTTGTTCAGGGTTTTTTTTCCCCTCAAAATACTTTTTCCTCTTCATTTCCCTTGTCCCAGTCGTTATATCGTGATCCCAGTTTTTGCCTGCTGGGCACTGTTTGCCATGAAACACTAAGGAAGGGCATTGTGGTGTTTTGGGGGCCATACAGCTGAGGCATTTCCTTGGCAAGAAAGTTTGCACTGGTGTAGCCTGTGTTAGTGATTTCCACCACCTCAATTGTCAGAACTTCTGACCACTTACTCCTGTTTCTTAATCTCTACTGTGGGGTTGCTGCAGTCAGTTGCAGAGGCAGCTGAAGGAATGTATGGAGTGGCAGAAGCACAGTGACTTTGTCATGACCATGCTGAATTGTGAGACAAATGCAGTGCTTACAGTTTCTTTTTTATTTAAGCAACCTCTATTGAATATGACAGAGAGTGCCCCAAACCAAGAGCAATGCCTTTGAGTCCTTTCAGCTTTAAGTACTGACTGTATTTCGTGGTACCTTGTAGAAGAAATGACAGTCAAGTGGGGAGCGAATTAATGAGAGCAGCAGCATTTTAACTAGTGAGTTCTCAGTTTTTTGATAGTCCCTTTGTTTCAGGTGGCAGTTTTTGAGGTGACCTCATTTGTGTTTATCTGCTAGATTAAACCCTTATTATGGCCATTGCTGCTTCTGTCAGGACTGCTGTTTTCCTTGTCTGTTATACATGAGCTGCCAAGCAAGTAAAACAGAACTACAGCTTTGTTTAAATGACACCTGCTCATGCAGAGTATGTTTTATGGCTTCTTCAGTATTTATTTTCTGGACGCAGATCTACTGATCCACTCAAGCCGTGGGCTATCGTTATTTTCTCATTTTGTTGCTTCTTTTGTAATATTGTTAATTTACAAATGAACTCTTAGCAGAAGTACAATGGCAGGTTCTTCATACTGCATTTTCCTTTTAAAGCAGAGCATTAAATGAAAATCTGATTTGCCTTCTTTATGTGTTCAGTTATGCCTCATGCTTCAGTAGATGGAGAAATATCCTTATATTGAAAGGAATCTTTGGAAACGAAACAGTAAATGGGGGTCTCTCTTTTGTTTTTTAGTGATTCCCCTACCAAACTGAAAAGCTGTCCTGTGCAAACTATGAACTGAGCCTTCCATGTAGTAATGAAATAGTTTGTTTTACAGCCTGTCACATTTTGCTGTGATGTGTTTTGGAGTCAGCTGCTGCTCAGTTAACTGTGCGGTTTCGTTCATGTTCTCGTGGGCTGGGCAGATGCATTGTCTTCAGAAGGTCTGCAGAGCTTCAGCTGGTCAGCTACAACTCCATAAACAATCCACTATGTCCCAAGATAGGGAAGAATGTTTCCAGCTCATAATTTTTAGCTCTGTGGGATGAACTTGGCTAAAATGCATTAAAATATTGTTATTCAAGTAAACAGGCTTCTGAAAAAAAGATAGTAAACAAATCTGTTGAGTAGGATGTTGACATATTCTTAGTTTCTGGAGTTGTCAAGCTGCTCTCATGTTTACACTTAAACCCACAGCTATTGCAGAATAGTATGGGAAAATGATATAACTTCATGAGAAGCCAATAGCAACAGGACGTTTGTAGCTGGAGGTATGACAAACTGTTAGACAAATGAGTAAGGGAGGTCAGGAATAAACTGTTTAGGATACACAAAGTCATTTTCTACAAAGTCTTGCAGTTGTCTCTAAGTGTGAAACTTTCCCCCAGGTCCCTGTGTAATAGATGTTGCTGGTGTTTCACAGCTGGCAAAAACAAGTGTGGTGAGATCAAGTGATTTACCCAAGACTCTGGAGCAGGTCAGAGAGTGTAAGGGTTACAGTTCAATAATCTTTACTCTGAGCCCCACATATATTTACAGCCACGTTACTTAAGGTTGAAAAAATGCTCTTAGCAAGTTCATGCTCTTAGTGTGACTTATTCCTTTCATATCTAATCTCTCTGTTTTCAGTGACAGGACCCAGTGACCCCTTCCTGACTACTGTTCTGTTGTAATGTCCTGCTTTAAGTAATAAAAAACTTTCCTTTGATATCTAATCTGCCCTCGCCTTCTGTGAATGCATTACTTCCTGTTGTGCATGCTGCTTCAGCCTTTATGTTCTCCTCACACATATTGCTTATTTGTGAAATCTGAAATGTGTTGGCTGTTTGAGATTTTGGGGCATAGGAGTTGAGTAAAGCTAAAGAATGCAAAGGAACTTTTTTAAAAACTGTACGCACTTCCCTTTCTACAGTTTTCTTTTGTATTGTGGCAAGATTCAATTACTGACTTGCTCTGTACTGGTACAAACATCCTTATTTCCCCTTTATTTTCCTTTCTCAGAGTGCTCTGTTGCTCCCCCTTGGATGCACAGTCAATAAGTAACATACTCTATGAGTTAAAATGGGAACAACATTCTCTGTTTTTACAGAGTTTAGTGCTTCTGTAACTATTCCTGCTGGACTGTTCTAAAACATTTATAATTTGATGGAAGATTGAACAAAGGTTGGTAAAGAATGTATTTAAGGAAACATTAGTGTGTTCCCCTGAAGAGCTGGACAGTCATCAGTGCACAGACTGACTAGCAACAGGATTCTTCCGAAAACCAGTTCAGCTACTCCACAGCCACATTCCTTACAGTTTATTTAAAAGTAACCCACCCCCTCCCCCCATAATGGAATATTACCAGCATTTCTAAATTGAGAATAAAAATTCCAAAATTAAGAACTCAGAAGCAACTAGAGTCCATACTTAGAATGGAAGGATGACAGACATACTCTGTTCCCTCCTGTCATGCTAAAGTATGGTTCAGCTGATGAGCAAGGCAGGAAAAGAGGGGCTGGCATTCGTGACAGTGTATGGAGAAGGTACATTATGGAGCAGCAAGAGGCATGCATATTTTTCTCTATTTTTCTTCCCACAGGAGCATAAGAATTATCTTGGATAATTCACTGTGAAGTCACAGAAACTGATGTGACTGCCAGTTTGCTGTGTGAGGCTTACAAAAATTATAAATTCAGCTCCTGTTCCTATCTTTTGGATTTGTGTGCTGCATGGGACCACGTGATGCTTGTCCTTTGGCACTAGGTGGGTTTATTTGTAATTGTGCTCAAAGTGGGGAATAGTTAGAAGTTCTTGTAATTTGAGTAAAAGTTTATTTACTTTTAACAACTTAAAAGCTTCACCTTTCAGAATGCATGATAAGATTGCTGTATTCTTCCTTAAAATGCTGTGGCAAAGTGAGTTCCTGCTCTGTCACTATGTTTTCATTTCCTCTTACATCTCTTCCACTGGTGGAGTAGCCTATAAAAGCTTTAGTTATGCACCTTTTAACATGACTCAAATATTCGTGACGTTAATCAGGGGCTGACAACACTTCCGCTTTGTTTCTTCAATTGAAAGTGACCACTACAGCCTAAAGATTGCAAGCTATGAGAAGCCAAAGGCTATTACAGCTTCAGAGGGCTGCCCTGCCCTGCCCTGCGCAGGCTGCAATGGCTGGGGATGCCGGTGTGTGTCTAATGAGAAGTTGCTGCGCGAGCTGCGTGGCTGGGAGCAGTGCACACTCACGCTGCTAAAGGTTTTCTCCCGGCCCTCAATCTGTGATCCTGTTTGTAGTTCTCTAATTGCAGCCAGCAGAAGACAAGGGTGATGTTGGTTTTTATGACTTGTTGCTTAGCAGCGTTGATCAACAAAAGTACAACCTTTTCTTTTGCTGTAACCTCGGTGAACCCGGGCTTGGACGGAGCTCACCAGCGGGGAACAAGGGTTTCTTAAGCCGTGTGAAACTCCTGTGCTGTGCCTTGTTAGCAGTGTCTGAGGGAAAGCATCTCTTCTTGACCTCTTGGTTACCTTTGCCCTTTACTCCTCTTTCTCTCTCTCATCAAATCTTAGAATAAAGCAGGCACCGTCCTAGAAAGATTTGGAGGATGGGAAATACAGGGACAAGTCAACTATACTAAGATGTATTCTGCCTCTTTTCAGGAAAAGGAGTTAAGCTGGTTCCCAGACTGTGATGTCAGAGCCTCCTCTCATGGAAGGAGAAAGACTTCAGCCATCGCAGTAAGATCTGTTCTTATTTAGAGAAGCTTTCCTAGTATTTCAAAGTAGGCAAAATAATCCATAGAAATGGAAATTAGGGTGCTAAGAATTTATTGGCTTATGTCTTTTAGAAAAGATTTCACAAACTGCACCAGAAGTGGTATTGAACGTGGTTGAAAATGATTGAGGGTCTGCACTGAATGTCTGCCTTTATCTGATCACATCTAGCAAAGCCTGGAAAATGAGAGCAAGGAGTAAGTTACTTGTTTCACCTTAAATTGTTAGTCTGACTGGACAAAGACTCTTTAGTGACACCAGAAGCTGCAACATTTAATGTGCCTTAGCACATCAGAAGCTTAGACCAGGAGCTTTTACTGTTGCTTAGATGCTTGTCTTTTACACCTAGATCTGAGTAAGAAACAACTGAGTATTTGTATATTTTTTCCCCCAGAAATGTTGTTATCCTGAGCCACCTTTATGCTTATGGACACAAGGTCACTGTACCTTGCCAGTGTGGTGGTTTTCTCCTTTCCACTCTGTCACCTCCAGTACTGACTTCTCCCCTCTGTTCATTGGTGGCTTTTCAGAGCACTACAGGTCAATCTGTTAAAAGGTCAGCATGTGTTTCACAAGCCTGTTATGCTCTGGTGTCCCTCCTCTTCTGAAGTTTAAAGAGAAGCTCTGCTGTTCAGCTATCCCAATCTTGTAAAATTCATGGAGAGCACTAATATTGCTGTAATTGTAAAACTGAGATCAGATAGACCAGATGTTCATTTCAGAGCAGGCAGCTGCATAAGAAACTTGTTTCTGCCCTACATGCCACGTCAAAAGCATGGCAAGTGCATGGTATCTGGCAGAGCTCAATCAAGTAAAATAATCAGCAAATGGGAATGGGAATTACATTGCAAATATTGTTCTTTTTTATTTATATTGCAAGAATCTCAACAAAATTATCTACTTGGAAATCCTGACTGCTATCTGAGGCTGAGAGGAATGACTTTTCATGCCCTTGCTTGCTTGATGAACAGAGCAAATTGTGTTCACCCAAACAGGATTTCTTTATTTTGAGCTGTGAGTATGATTTGTCTGTCTTCACTGAACAACAGCTGCTAATATCTGATATCTGCAGGACTCAAAACAAGGGGCTGAAGTAATGTTCTTAACTTCTGATTTACAGGAGAAGTGGGGAACTCTGGTCAAGATCAATAAGCTTTTAGAAACAGTTTCAGTAAAAGTAAAAAAAAACCCCTTTTTTGTTATTGATGAGTGCTATGATGCAGCACTTACAACCTGACTGGTTCTTTCTGCGTGCAGTGGCAATAGAAACTGATTCGATTTGAAAATTAATGTTTCAGACTTCAAATATTGTTGCCCTTCACTTTTCCTTGTCACTATCCATTAGAATGTGACATTCTTAGAAATGAAGGAGTCTTTAATGTGGGACTGTTTAGTACTGTCATTTCCACGTCTGCAACAATGGAGCAGAGCATGGCTACTGTGCAGCACTAGTATGACTAAAAGTCACTGAATGCTTTATTTCTGTACTGACATTAAAGAGTTATTTTGAATTATGATGTGTTGAAAGTCCCAGTTTCATGTCTTGCACATTGCACGTGGCTTTCAGTTTAGCTGGAGACGCTGCTCCAGACACTCATTTTCACCACACCACAATTCCTTCCATGTTAGAAATGCTGCTGCTTCTCCACACCCTGAGGTCAGGAGAGGTCAGCAGTGGAGCATGTGCCTACACGTGATGGAATAAGGTCCTAGAATAAAGGCTGCCTGAGGTCCGTCCTGCCTGGCAGGTTAGTTTTCCTTTTTTGGGGTGGTAAACTTCATATGCAACGGGACAGGAAATTTCAGAGGGAAACCAGGATAATTAAAATTATCTTGTTTGGCCCATTGCCAATTCTTTCATCTCAGAAAACATAGCTGTGGAGACAGGCACAAACCTTGTAAACTAGTCTAGTCTGAATAGCTCTCATCTAACATTTTTGAACATTGAACCTTAGTGAACATCTAACATGCAAGGGCATTTCTGTGGGACAGTCTGAATACTTTTGCTTTCATAGTTTTGTTTTTTTTTTTTCTTTATTGGGTGTTTCTTGAGATTAAGGCTGGACTAAGTGGATCTTCAGGTTAGTGTGGTATTTCCTTATGTAGATTGGATCACAAAACCACTCCAAAAGAAGATATTTTTATGAGCAAGACTTGTATAAATTACGAAGGAAAAAAAATTGCCTGGAAAAGCTGAAATAGAGATTTAAATACTGTACAAACTGGATAGAACTAAAGCTACTCTTGTGTTTCACTTTCTAAATCTTGAAGCCATAACATTCTCTCCTCCTGTGCTTAATCTAGAGTGCTTGTAACAAACCACCTTGTCTGCATGCCAAGAGATTGCCACAGAGAGAAACAAATTGCTGCTGATGACAGAGGTAAATCTTGTTCTGAAAATTATTCCTCGGACAGCTTTCGGTAATCTTTTTTTCCAGATGATTCCTGATGAATCAGAGGCAGTGACTCCGAGAGGAAACAGTTGCTCAGAGAGTTTTGCTGTGGTGACACTGGTGTGTGCTGAGAGCCTGGCAGCTGGCTGGGAGCATCCAGGAGCCAATCCATAGGTCTCATTCCATACATCCCCTCGGCAGTACTTGTGGAGAGCCCTTAGATGGTGCTGTATGGCAGCGCTCGGCCGCCGCCACCTCTGCTGCCTTAGGGATGCCTGTGCCCCACCCCAGGGCTCACATTTGGCCGTAGTTCAGTCTGAAGAAGGTGAAAAAGCAGTCTCTGGGCACTGTTAATTAGGATGAGTAAATGAAATCTGTCAGTAGAGACATATTAAATATTAAATTCAAACATGGATTGCAATAGCTGCTGTAATTTAATCCTTATAAACTTGAATCATGTCATGCTTAAGCTTCCATGCCAAATGTATTGCTCTCTGTCTGTAAAACAAAGGGCTTTTAAATAATAGTTAAGGAGTTGTTAAAGGGCATTTGAGGATCATCCTGATG